CCATAGCCCCCAGCCACCCAAGCTCCCAGTGGAGGCTGGCTGGAAGCAGGTATCTAGGAATTATTTAGCTTCTATAATGGAAACTTTGTTGCCTTTTGTGGAGGCCACAGCCGGCCAGAGCAGGCAGGAAGCTTGGCTTCCTCCATCGCCGGGGCAACCAAGCCTCCTGCTTGCTCCAGCTCCGTGGCTGCCGGCCGCCATCTTGGTTGGGTTAATTTGCATATAGTCGCCCTGATTGGCTGGTGGGCGTGGCTTGGGCATAGCAAAGGTATGGTCAATTAGCATCTTTGTCTTTTATTAGTGTAGATTGGTTTCAGGTATACAGCATAGCGGTTAAACATTTATATAATTTATGAAGTTATCCCCCCGATAATTTCAGTACCCACCTGGCACCATGCATAGTTATTACAATATTATTGACTATTTCCTATGCTGTATTTTACATCTCCGTGACTATTTTGTAACTATCAATTTGTACTTCTTTATCACTTCACCTTTTTCACCTGCCCTCCCCCCCAAATCCCCTCCCATTTGACAACCATCACTTTATTCTCTGTATCCATGAGTCTGTTTCTGTTTTGTTTGTTCATTTATTTCTTTCAATTCCATATGTAAGTGAAATCATGTGATATTTGTCTTTATGTGACTTATTTCATTTAGTATAATATCCTTTAGGTCCACCCATGTTGTCACAAATGGTAAAATGTCATTCTTTTTTATGGCCAAGTAATGTTCCATTGTGTATTTGTACCACATCTTTATCTAATCATCTATTGCTGGGCACTTAAATTGCTTCTATATCTTGGCTATTCTATATAATAAAAGGGTAATATGCAAATTAACCCTAATGGAACAACCAGTCACTATGATGTGCACTGACCACCAGGGGGCAGATGCTCAATGCAGGAGCTGCTCCCTGGTGGTCAGTGCATTTCCACAGGGGGAGCACCGCTCAGCCAGAAGCCGGCTTACGGGAGCCTCTCCCACCTCCGCAGCAGCACTAAGGATGTCCGACTGATGGCTTAGGCCCGCTCAGTGAGGGAGCAGGCCTAAGCCATCCGTCAGACATCCCCCAAGGGCTCCCAGGCTGCCAGAGGGATGTCTGACTGCCAGCTTAGATCCATCCCCTGGGGAGCAGGCCTAAGCTGGTAGGTGGACATCCCCAGGGGGCCCCAGTCTGTGAGAGGGCACAGGCCGGGCTGAGGAACCTCCCCCCCCCCCCCACCCAGAAAGTGCACAAATTTTCGTGCACCGAGCCTCTAGTTTGTAAATAATGGGTGCAATGCAACAAAGGGGTGCCTATATCTTTTCAAATTAGTGTTTTAGATTTCTTCAGATAGGTACCCAAAAAATAAAATCTCTGGGTTGTAAGACAGTTTCACATTTAATTTTTTGAGGAACCCTTCATAATGTTTTCCACGGTGGCTGCACTAGGTACCCCAAAAATAAAATCTCTGGTTGTAAGACAGTTCACATTTAATTTTTTGAGGACCCTTCATACT